CGGGTGACTCTTCAGACTTCGGGCACGGCAGTGCATGCCACTGCTCACTCGATCACAGACCAAGTCCATGGACCAAAAGGCGGGAGAATCCCTCCTGGCCTATTAGGAACGCCTGGCTGAATTCATCCAGGAGGCCAACGATAGGGCCGCCGCCGCGGCCAAGGAACGTAACCGGATCGAGCAAGAAGAGGAGGCCAAGCGACAGCAGGAGGAACAGGACCGACTTCGTCAAGAGGAGGCAGACCTGCAGGCTGCAGCCGAACACCAGTCACGCCAGCGGGAACGACTGTTCACGCGGGAGTCCATGATCGGCGATGAGACCACACATTGGGTGGAAATGGCATCTGCGGACGAGGCCTCGGAGACTGACAAAGGGTTGTCAGCCGTTGCGCAGATCTCCCACGACCTCGTGGCCACCTGCGCTCTGCAGCAGGAGGAAATCCTTCACCTGCAGCAGACAGTGGACCAGATGCTTGTACGGCTGCAGGCATTGGAGAAACAGCCAGTTGCCGCAGCAGCCGTAGGGCCTTCCAACCTTGCCACCCGTGTTCAAGTTTTGGAGGATGACGTCAGCAACATCAAGCGTGTGCATCAGGACTTCCGGACGTCACAGCAAGCAACAAACTTGCAGTTGGAGATGCAGGTCCAGGCTGCTGCTACCGTGACGCCCGCGACCGCATCCTCCCGACGCCCACCCAAACTGGATGACCTTCCAGTTTTCTGCAATCAGTCCAAGACGGACCCGATTCCATGGTGGCGCCAGTTCACTCTCACGCTCGACATGCACCATGTCCTGAACAACTATCGACATGCGTGCTTGTACCACCGATCTGGTGGTGCATGTCAAGCATGGCTGGACAACATATTGACCAGCCACGGTGTAGCAGCGTCGGAACTGCACACCAAGCTCACTTGGCAGGAGCTGACCGACGCCTGGCACAAGCGATTCCAAGTGGAGCCGCCCGATTTGCAGGCGATGGAGAAGTTAAACAAGCTCCATCAGAACTCGCTCCTCAGTCAGGACAGGATTACCAAGTTCCAAAGACTCGCCTCCACACCCGACCCGCTCGCATTCCGCGGCGTCAAGCACTTGTTCATCATGCGCTCGTGTCCAGCCCTGCAAAACGCGCTGACGCAGATTGCAGAGACACTCGACACGTCAGACAAGCTTTTCACCACAGCGTCACAGATCATTCTCACGAATGTAGAAGCCCGCAACGCCGGCCGATCTTCCGCGACGTCGAGCAGCAACCAGCCCAAGCCAAAGGTGGCTTGCATTGCGGCGACTTCGCCAACTTCTTCTACCGAGGCTGCAACACCAAACAAGGGTGACGTGTTGGCAGCTGCCTGGGATGGTGGCCGGCCGCACAACAATCACGGCCGCGACAAGACAAAGACTCAGTCCACCTCTTCACCGGGCACCGGATCAGCAGCCGACGAACCTTGGCTCCAATACGGACTCTCGACGAATTGCTACCGCACGAGACTCAAGTACCGTTATCGTCTTTGGTGCAACAGCACCATCCACGATGCTGCACATTGCCCCACCAAGGGGAAACCCCGTTCGGGAAAGTAGGCGCCGCCGAGGGTGACTCGACACCTCCCTCGACGCCATCGGAAGCGGTTGTGCGCACGACCGCCCTTTCTTCCGAGGCGTATGCGGATGTCGGGAGTCTTCCACTTTCGTTCGAAGACTTCGCTGCCCGGCTCGTTCCTTCGTTGGACGCTTCTCAAGGACAAGATACTTGTGCGGCTTTCTCACCGTCCGAAGGTTCTTCCGCCACTTCGTCTTCATCAAGGGATTCGGCAAGCGTGTTCAACGAGGAGGTGTTGAACCTGCTCACGCCCGAGGACTTCGCTTGGGTTCCTCTCCCTACGACGGGCAACCTTTCGGGGCCGCAAAGCGCAGCACTATGCGCCCTCTTACACGAGTATCTTTCCTTCCATGCACCACCAACTTCGCCGATGGTAGACGAAGTCGAGGTGGGGGACATGCTTGGCTATGTTGCCAAGGTGGCCTGCGAGTTTGTCTCGCAACGGTACGAAGAAAACAACGCACCGTTGCTCTACGTCCGCATTGAAATTGGGCAAGCGGCCTGCAACGCTTTGCTAGATTGCGGCGCAACTCGCAACTTCATCAGCCAGTCCTTCATGAATCGGGCTGGCCTTGGGGCACAAGTACGGAGGAAGTCACATCCGACGACGGTCGCTCTTGCCGATGGTAAGACGAAACAGCTCTTAGACCGTTACATCTCAACTGTCCCGGTGTATTTTGCACCGCACGGCATGTGAACCCGTCACTTTTGACGTATTGGACACCGACTTCGATGTCATTTTGGGGATGCCTTGGCTTTCTAGCGTGGACCACACGGTCAACTTCCACCGACGCACGCTCACGATTCGTGATACCGTTGGCGCCGAGGTCCCGTGTACTATTCCTCCTCCTCACTCCTCCATTCGGTGCCAAGTCGTGAGTGCCAAATCTTTTCGAGACACGTGCCGTTTCGAGCACATCGAAGAGATTGGCATCGCGTTTCTTCGGACCGTCCCTACGACCGACTCATCGTCCACGGATTTGTCTTCATCCCCCATGTGACCCGGTTGTTAGACGAGTTCTCGGACGTTTTCGAGACTCCCTCCGGGATAGTGCCGGACTGGCCGATCTCTCACGAGATCATACTTGAGGCCGGCGCCGAGCCACCCAAGGGATGCATTTATCGCATGTCCGAGAAGGAGCTCACGGTTCTCCGTGCGCAACTCGATGATTTACTTGAGAAGGGTTGGATCCGCCCTAGCAGCTCACCTTACGGTGCGTCCGTGCTCTTCGTTCGGAAGAAAAACAAGGACCTTCGACTTTGCATTGACTATCGACGCCTCAACGCGCAAACCATCAAGAATGCGGGGCCTCTACCTCGCATTGACGATTTGCTTGAGCGTCTGGGCGGCGCTAAGTATTTTTCCAAGTCGGGCTATCATCAGATTTCCATCCGCCCGCAAGATCGGTACAAAACCGCGTTTAAGACGCGATATGGGCATTTTGAGTGGGTAGTTATGCCTTTTGGCCTCACCAATGCCCCGACCACCTTTCAGGCGGCCATGACCACCGAGTTCCGCGCTATGTTGGACCGCTTCGTCTTGGTCTACTTAGACGACATCCTCGTCTATAGCCGAACTCTCGAGGAGCATCTCGAGCACTTTCGTCGTGTTCTAGAGACTCTTCAGTCAGCCCGGTACAAAGCCAACCGCGACAAATGTGAGTTTGTCCAGCAAGCGCTTGAATACTTGGGTCATCTTGTATCCCCGGAAGGCATTCGTCCGTTGGCGGACAAGATTCAAGCCATCCAGGAGGCCCGAGCCGAAGAATGTGACAGACGTACGATCGTTCCTCGGCTTGGTCGGTTATTATCAGCGCTTCATCAAGGGTTACTCGAAGATCGTGGCCAACCCAACCTAAGCAAGTTACAAAGCGAGGAGCGGCCTTTTGACTTCGACGACGATGCGCGCCATTCTTTTGAAACACTCAAAGCGACACTTTTGTCCGCCGAGGTGTTACACATTTACAACCCACTCCTAGCTACGCACGTCACCACCGATGCGTCTGGCTATGGCATTGGGGCCGTCCTTGAGCAGCACGATGGCACAAACTGGCACCCGGTCGAGTACTTTAGCAAGGAAGTGCCTCTCGTGCATTCGATCGATGACGCACGAAAGAAGGAGCTTCTTGCCTTCGTCCACACCATCAAGCGTTGGCGGCATTTCCGATGGGTAATGGATAACAATCCGTTGGTATTCTACAAGTCACAAGACACGATTAGTAATACCATTACCCGCTGGATGGCTTTCATCGACCAGTTTGACTTTTTCCCCGATCACATTCCCGAGAAGTCAAACCGTTTTGCGGACGCCCTCTCACGGCGACCGGATCTTTGCACCACAGTCTACTCTACCTTCGAGATCGACGACRACTTGCGGGAGAGCTTCATCCGCGGCTATCAAACCGACCCCCACTTTCGCGACAAGTACGCGAATTGCTCCTCTCCAAATCTGGTGCCTTCGCATTATCCGATCCAAGAGGGCTACTTGCTTGTGCATTCACGGGGTAAGGATCTTCTTTGTGTGTCGAGTGATTCACATTTGCGCACACGGCTTCTTGGCGAGTTTCACGATGCGCCCGCCTCCGGACATTTTGGTGTCAACCGTACACTTGGTCGACTTCGCCAGCGGTTCTATTGGCCCGACCTTCTCAAGGACGCCACCCGCTATTGTGAGTCGTGCGAAGTCTGTCGGCGTTGCAAGTCACGCAACCATCGTCCGTTCGACGAGCTACACCGACTACCAGTGCCCCTTGGGCGACGGGCAGCGATTGCTATGGATATCACCGGCCCCTTCCCGAAGCACAAGACCGGCGTTGATGGGATCCTCACGGTCGTCGACCGCCTCACCAAGTACGCCATGTTTTTGCCTTGCCGCTATCACTGGTTGGGAGTTAGCCGAGGTCTTATACACCGGTTGGATTCACTCCAAGGGCTACCCCAAGGATATCGTTTGCGACCGGGACACTCACTTTCTCTCCGACTTTTGGGTCGCCCTCGTCAAGCGATGGGACTCATCTTTGAAGTCGAGTTCGGCTCGCCACCCGCAAACCGATGGTCAAATGGATAGGGCGCATCAGACCGCTCAAGTCCTTCTACGCACTCTTATCCGTCCCGACCAGGTTGATTGGGTTGAGCGCTTGCCAGACGTTGAGTTGGCTTACAACTCATCGATCCATTCGACTATCGGGATATCGCCATTCGAGTTTGAGCATGGTTCACCCATCTCATCACCGCTGGACGCCATTTTGCCGCGCACAGCCGAGAGCCACGACCATCTTGCGTTCCTTCATCGCATGCAAGAGCTCCTTGTCAAGGCACGAGATCAGATGTCAAAGACGCAAATACGGATGAGTCGTCAAGCCAACCGCAATCGTCTCCCTTGCCCGTTCCGCGCCGGCGATCGGGTTTGGGTCTCCGCCGCGGAGTTCAACCTTGAGCAAGACATCTCTCGCAAGCTCCTTCCCAAGTGGATGGGGCCTTGGCACATTCTCTCTGCAGTTGGTGATGATCCCGAGGGGCCTTCATTCCGCATCGCGGTGCCCCCTCACTTGCCCGTCCACACGGTGTTCCACTGTTCCAAACTCGCTCCTTTTGCTTCAACGGAGTTCAACGAGTTTCCCGACCGACGTACGCAAGACCCTCCTTCCATGGACGGATTTCAGGGCCGGCTATATCATCACCGAGAGGCGCCATGGCAACAAAGAGACAGAGTTTTTACTTCACTTCTCCTACTGCAGCCACAAGGCTGACCGTTGGCTGACGCGTTTGGAACTGCAGGCCACAACTCCCGCCGTTCTCTCACGTCATCTTAGCAAGGGGAAGACTACACCGAGCACTTCAGCTCCTCGCCATCCTCGCTACATTCCGCCATCGGATCGGCAGCTTCACACGCGCCCCGGCTCGTCTCCATAATGAGGGGGGCGTGTTACATGCTGAGAGCCTACACACGGGCCCCTCACGGAACCCGAGGTTGGAATAGGGCCCGCAGGTCGCRTCACCGCAACCTGAAGGCCCTATGGCAATTTTACTTGGGCCTGCATCAAAAAAACGCCAACTCTAGATTATTTTTATATATTTTATTTATTGCTGCTGTTTTTCTTACGTGTGTGCTGTTGTCCGTTTGTGGCCAAGTCCACGTTCTTGGGCCAGGGCCAGATTCAGGCCTAGAGGCCGAGCCTCTAAAAATGTTTGGACCTTTTTTTGTTTTCGGACAGATTTTGGACCATTCGGACCTGGACCGACGTTCAGGCCCGATGCATTCGCACAGGCCCTGAATCGGACCAGGTACCGAACAGGTCCAGTCCTGGGCAAGGCCTGGACGTCCGGTAGTGACCCAGGCAGGCCATTTTAGGCCAAGGACTGAACCAAGTTCGAAGCCTGCGATCTGGACCGTGGATCGAATTTGGATCTGCACGATCTAGAACGAAGGCCGTGGACTCATTGGGTCCGGCCCAGCGCTACTTAAGCTGGGCCAGCGCCCAGGTCTAGGAGAGGACACAAGGAGAAACCCAGCGTTACGCTGGTTCAGGATTTCGCCTGCTGCGCTATTTGGAGACTACCTGCTGCGCTATTTTGAGACTGCCGGCTGCGCTGTTCTTCAGCAATGTGGCACAGCGCTGGAGGAGTCCAGCGCCGAGGAGGTTAGCGAAGTTCAGAGAGAGAGAGAGAGAGAGAGAGAGAGAGAGAGAGAGAGAAGAGGGACTTACCTGTCGCGACTTACCAACGCCATAGCTGGGCTCCCGCAGTACCTGCAGTCAGCACCCAGGTAAGTAGGATCAGAAAGCGCCTAGCTTTCTTCTTCTTCTTCTTCTTCTCCTCTCCTTCTTCTTCTTCTTCTCTCCTCTTCTCCTCCTACTCCTCGGAATTCTTCTTCTTCTTCTTCTTCTTCATTAGAGTAGAGATAGGGGTAACTGCAGACATTGTTTGGACACGGCATTCTGCCTTATTGCACACGACATTCCGATCGGACTTGAACTCTACATTGGGATTGAACTGTGTACGACTTTCGGAGATCTCTCTCGCATGTCTATGGATCTCTCCCCATGTGTGTGAGCGGAAGGGCAATCTTTCTGATGTCTTGCCCTTCCGAAGTTTCTCTCTTTCATGTTTGTTTGTCCTCGTGTCCTTTGATTACTAAATCTTCCGCTGCGCTGTTTTCCCAGCCTATGATGATGATGATGTGAATGCATTGTTGTCGATTTCTCGTTGGTTCACTCTTTGCATTGGGCACATTGGCATCTTGTGAATGTTGCATCTATGCTGCTAGCTGTTGCCACTTTCATCATTGCTAGATCCTAGGCTCTCGGTGCATTTCACTTCCTGATATGCTACACTATGGCTAAGCTCTCCTTCTCGCCCACTTCGTCTTCGGGCACACTGCARACCACCTCGCACAAGTCGCTATGGCAGMGCTTCCGMWTGGCTTACGCAGGAATGAATGAACGGCTGGGCGCTCACCCAACTCTCTGTTTACACACAGGATCACCCTGGATATCCCACACGCATCACACTGTACAGACACGCACACACACACTACACTCCTCTATCAGCTATGGCGGCTATGGCCGCTACTACCCCTATCACTATGGCTAAGCTCTCCTTCTCGCCCACTTCGTCTTCCGGCACACTGCAGACCACCTCGCACAAGTCCCTATGGCAGCGCTTCCGCATGGCTTACGCAGGAATGAATGAATGGCTGGGCGCTGCCTCTTGATTTATACTTTTGTAGCTCGTTGGTCTGCCCCTTTCCCATGCCCGTGGTGCACACAGTCCCAGACGGTACTTGCTTGACTGGACTAGGACTGACTGGGACTGGGTACCGCTGACTCAGCACGGGTAGACTCCACCACTTGGCCACTTGCCTTGGTCTACTGTAACCACTTCCGGACCTGCCGGAAGACCGTGAACTTGGCCTTTCGGCACTGTAGCAGCTACGACCTCAACCCTTTAGGACTGTAGCAGCTACGACCTTGAGCCTTTGGAGGAGCTACAACTACGACATCTAGAACTTGCTAAGACTCCTATATGACAGGTCTACAGATCGAACCCCTATACCCTACAGACCTACGACAACCTACCAACTGTGGGGAAAGACTCAGGTCGTGGGTTCAACTCCTGGGGTCGACACAGATACTGTACACAGGTAAGGTAAGTCTAGGGATCGAGCCCTGGGATCTGCATCGGCTACTGCGAACAAGTGAATACCGTTTCACTCCCGGCGGCCTAAATTCTAGGTCCTCCGAGAATAACTCAGTCCAAGGCAGGACTTTTACCTTTTCTCTCTCTCTCGTAGGCTCTAACTATGCCGGGAGCTGTTTCTAGAAGTTATGTTCTAGTAAACCAGAGGTCGTCCTCTGGTTCCTGATAAGCAAAGTGGATCTTATATTGCTTCTGTGGACGACCTCTACCTCCTATTCTAAACACATCTTCACCTACAATGCCGTCAATGTCGTACCTTCCATCCATGTCTGGAGGGATCATAGGTCTTCTAGATGGCAACTGCTGACTTGTGACACACGGCAACAACTTTGATGCATGAAACACGGGGTAGGTGTGGAGGTGTGCTGGGATCTCTACTGTGTAGGACGGCCCATCCTATCCGCCCTTGACTTCTAGAACTGGCCATGGTCCCCTGTACGCTGGCAGTAACTTCTGGGAAATGTTTTCCTCTGGAGCAAACTCTTTGGACTTGACCCAGACTAAGTCGCCTACTTGGAACTGCGATGGGCGACGGTGCTTGTTGGCTTGCTCTACCATTCTATGCTGGGCCTTCCTGAGTTTTTCAATGACTGTAGCTAGCTCTTTTTCGTGCTGTATCGCGAACTCCCTGGTGTCGGGCGGTAGCCTGTGAATCTGGTCTTGGTTCAGTCCCTCAAACGGTCTGCGCGGTCTAAAGGACTTGTGTAACTTGTTGGGAGTGCGACAAGTGGACAGGTGCACGCTGTTGTTATACGCACTGACTACCTTGGGCAACATCTCGTCCCAATTGACTTGATCTGGTCTAATGTACATGTGCAGAACTTGTTGCAGGATCTTGTTCATCTGTTCAATCTGACCGTTAATCCCTGGATGACGGCCAGATGACATCAGCAACTTTGATGCACTGGTGCTGCGATCGTTGTCGGGCGGCTGGTGTAGCTGCCTGAGTTCAATCTGCAAGGTGCCGAGCTGCTCGCTGATGGTGGCTGGTGCGGCGAAGGTGCTGATGTCGCCGAGCATTGCGAGTACATGGTCAACTTGTTTCCCCAACAAGCAGGTTGGGGCTGCATTGCTGGGTTCCCCAGTGTCTGGTCTTTGTAATGCTTGCTCCAAGTCCTGTTCAAGTGCCCGTGTAGCACCCTCGTGCAGATCCTTGTCGTTCCGCACTGCCCGTCGGAAGTTCTCCAGTTCCTGGTGCTGTTTCGCCATTTCCTGGTGTTGTTTCTCGCTCGGACTGCACGTGGTTACAAGTGTAAGCCAACCAGGTCACGAATTTGGAGAGGAACTCCTTGTGCTTCTCTTCCGGTGTTGCGTCGTCATGGTCCTCGGATGGTTCGAAATGTCAGAACTTGAGCTTGTCGATGCTGGTGGCTTCGTGCCGCTGCAGCAGATTCTGGGCCTCCTTGCGGCGGGCCTGGGCGTCTTTATCAGCTGCGGCCTGAAGCCGCTGTTTGTCGGCTTCTGCCTCTGCTTCAGCCTGTAGGCGGGCAGCCTCGGCTGCCGCCTGACGCTGTACCTCGGCCACGATCAGTGCGAGCTGATCTAGAAACCGCTATCGGTACTCGTCAATGCACTCGTTGGCCAATCGGCCTGGCATGCCCAAAGCTGAAACCATCATGGTGGCGGGGCACTGCTGACGTTGGTACTGTTGCTGTCGTGGCACTGTTGCTGATGTGGTACTGCTACTGACGTGGCACTGCTGATGTGACACTTACCAAACAGGGAATGCAGACAAAGGGCTGGGTGGGAGGGAAACGCAGAAAGGTAACAAAACTGCACTTTCCATTCCCGGGCCTAATCAACAGAATAAAATAAAAAAAATAAAATAAAAGAAGAGGATCACCCGGGATTCAACCCCCCCCGTTTCTTTTTTTTTGTATATCTGTCGATCTGTTGTCAGTGAGGCATTTCAGAGGAGTACTATGAGCGAGATCTAGACAAGGTTTCCCAAAGTTTCGGCTTTCAAAAAAAATGCGATCTTGAAATTTTATTGTTTTTTGCGCCAAATAGACTGGAGGTTCCAATTTCAGAGAAGAATAGATCCAGTCCGAGAGTATTTCAGAGAAGAATAGATACAGTCCGAGAGTATGACAACCTCCCTAGTTCACCTAATATGCCCAGACTGAAACAGAAAACGAAATGCTAATATCCGAAGTTGCGAAAGAAAAAGAAAAAAAAATGCAGAGATTTGACGAAGCCCTACTTGATTTACTAATAATCAATCAATCAATCAAACAATCAATCAATCAAACAATCAATCAATCAATCAATCAATCGATCAAGCAAGCTGGTTCCTTGATTGGGCGGATCCTCTGATTGAGAGGTCCGCTCCGATACCAAACTGTCGCATACCGTAACGGTACAGACCAGAACAAGAACCGACCTCTCTCACGTAGTGCAAGATAGCGCAGCGGAAGGCTAATATACCAATGATCCCGACCAATCAATGCCGCAATGCAGACCAAGCATACATCATCATCATCGCAAGGTGCGAGGGGCCTGGCGCTACACACAGGAAGAAGGCGCCAGGTCCAGACCATACACAGACGAAGAGGAGGGGATCAGACAAAGAAGAAGGGAAGATGGGAATGTCGTCAACACCAAGTCTTCGGTACAGGTCCCAAATAATCCCTCGTCCAATGTCTCAATCCCAATGTCGAGTCTGAATCCAAATGTCGTCAAGTCCCAAAGTCACTAATCTCTCTCTCTCTCTCTCTCTCTCTCTCTCTCTCTCTCTCTCTCTCTCTCTCTGTCTTCTAGTCTGCAGATACTGAGAAGTCAGGTAGCGAGAGGGTGAGGGAGAGATGGTGGACTTAGAAGAGGAAGAAGAAAAACTCTCTCTCTCTCTCTCTCTCTCTCTCTCTCTCTCTCTCTCTCTCCCCGGTACTAACCTGTGAAGGTGGCGCCTTGTTGAGCTATGGCGCCACAGGTAAGTCTCCCTGGCCTCCACCAACTCTCTCTCTCTCTCTCTCTCCATCGCTACTCTAGCTCCTAATAGCGCCCCGTGCTGAAGGCCACTCCTAACGCTACTACTACTGCAGCACTACTCTAGCTCCTAATAGCGCCCCGCGCTGAAGGCTACTCCTAACGCTACTACTACTACTGCAGCGCTCCTCCAGAGTGCTGCTGCCGAATTCTGAAGACTGCCTCCTGCCTCCTGCACGTGAAGTGCCCGTGAACTGCCTGGGAAGTCCCTATGAGCTACCTGCAGCCTGCAGGGCGGGCCAGTTCTATATAGCGCTGGCCCGTCCGGGAGGCTGCTCTTGCCAATGCCGAAACGTGCCAGACCCTGGCGTTGAAGTTCAAACAAAGGTTGTCTTGAAACAGGCCCAAAAATGGCCTGTGCCAAACCCTGGTCTGGTGCCTGAGTTTCAGGGCAGGTCGACTTTATGAGGGCCTGAAAATGGCCCTCGTTTTCAGGCTTTTAGGCTGAAACGACACAGGGCCTGTAGGGCCCTTCTTTTCCGTCTGGTAGGGCCCTGCAGGCCCGTGTGGCTGCGCAGTATACCACATCGGGTGAAGATGTACCTGTGATTGGGAGGTTCTCTGCTTCTGGAACAGCCGACAGGTGATCACAGACTGCATGGAAGGGTTCTCATCTTTTCATAGGGAGTCTTCACTGATAGGTTTCAGCGCTCGACCACATTAGGTCTTCAACATTGGGGTTTTATCATGGTGTTTTTCTTTAAGAGCTTCCAGGGTCAACTAGTCCATTCAGCCTGAAGCGGACGGCAAAATGGTGTGTTGCAGGCTGCAGCCATGGCCATAAGGCTGCAAACTTCAAACAAGCAAACTTAGCAAAGATGTAACTTTCAGTGAATGTGCAAATGCAGTTGCTCAGCAGGACATACTTCGGTTACTGGCATTACATGCAGATGCATGTACGCCACCAGTGCATCTCCCTGATATTTTCTCCTGACATGGGGGTGTACCTGCAGCATTGACAGGAGCTCAGCCTACTGGACCAAAATGGGTAGCGGAGCCAGCCAAAACGAGAAAAATTGTGCCCACGCCGGTTCATTTCGTTTTTGGCACGCAGCAGCTATCGGAATCGGGGAAAAGAGGCTCGGACGGACTGGTAGTTGTGAACTGACAGTCACCCACTGGTATACAGTGCTATACACCCAGGGAGCATGGCCTTCATAATCACTACAAACGGCATCGATCAGTACCGGAGAACCGATCCTTACAAGGAACTCCAATATTGTCAGTGAATCTCTATACTCCTAAAGGATACTGGCCCGCCCAATGTTTGGATGGGCCAGCCTGTGTTCCACGAAGTTGTGTATGGAGCTGTTTTTGTGCAGCTGATGGGGGCTCGAGGCTACCCAGGGCTGAGTTTTTTGTTTCAGGGAGGATCTCTTTAGCTTCAGCATGTCGGATCCACCCTTTTTGCATGTGTACTTCGGTCTGTTGTTTCATCAGTTTTTCTTCTCGGTTTTGTCTTTTAGGGGTGTAGGTGCCCCCATAGTTTGGGTTCGATACTGTGTCGTGCATGCTCAAATAGAAGTACATAGGTACAAATTGAGAAACGGTTCGAATACAACTACATAGGTATGAATTGGGAAACGTGACGCAGTAGTTTTCTTAGGGCATACTTTCACTTTTTTCCTGGGTGGAAATGCAGTTGGATACATCAAAGTCGGGTTGCCCATTCAGAATAGTCTTCTTAGGGCATATTCACACGACTTCTTTCTGGAAGGAGTTGTGGTCAGATAAACCAAGGTCGGGAGCTCTGAACGGGTTCACTGTGGTGGCGTGAGTGCCTACTGCTTACACCAAGGTCGGCCTCTGAATGGGGTCAACTGGTGGTGGCGTGAGTGCCCACTTACTGCCTTTTTTTTCCCAGTATTCTTAGGGCATACACACACTAGGGCATGTCGTGCATTGAACGCAAGCGTGGTTGGTTGCTTACCCGGCCCCCTCCCCTTTTTTGGGCACCGCCCAGCCCATGTCCTGCATAGTGCCGCCTGGTGCACAGTATCACCGTGGCCACCTGATATCGCTTGGGATGCATTGTGCTGCCTGGCAGTGGCAAGGACCAAATTGGGCTTTTTTTTTGTGGCAGTGTCTACATTCTTTTTCTTTCTTTTCCGGGGTGTGTGTGTGTGAGTGTTGGTCCCGTCCTTGCCGTCCTGGGGGCTGGGTTCTGCCTGAGTTTGCCGGTGTGCGTTTTCTTTTGGGTGGGGCGTGGTCAAGGTGTGACCAGGTGTTTCACGCAGGCGTAGCCTGCGGGGTCAACTTCTTAACATGAAGGCAACAGCAGGAATTTAGTAACACTGGAACCAAATGGCCATGAACCAAACACCAAACTGTGGAGGACAGGCAGGCAGATATTCAACAATCATAGGAAGGCACAGCTTTCAGAGGGCAGAGTGTTTTACCTCAGCTTCCAAAAATGAGTTAACGACAATCGCCTTGCAGTCTTTACATATTTTTTTATCGCCTTCCCATGTGGTCTGCCGATGTTCACACTTCTTCACTGTATGGATCGCCAGTAGACCACTTGCCAACACACTTGTTCCAGTTGCTGTGATCGTTTTGGCAGCACCAAAGGTGCTCATTATATCAGTCTGTTTTTTTATATCGATGCCTTTATGCCATAGTACGTCACCAGTACCAGGGCAATCCCCTTTAACTCCAGAAGAGATGGAATCCGAATCAGAGTCATAAGAATTGCTCCTACCAATTTCGGGGGAACTCATCGCACAATCAGAACCTTCGACCTCCCGACCCTCATCAGAAGCACACACACTGAAACCACAGTCTTTCTCCTCCTCCTCCACCATTGCCTCCACCTCCTCCTCCTCCATTGCCTCCACCCCTTCCTCCTCCTCCATTGACTCCACCCCTTCCTCCTCCTCATCACCATCACTGTCATGACCTTCATCATCATCAACATCATTGCCGTTCTCCTTTAAGAAAACTGCAGCAGCACCTGAACCTTCTTCAAAGTTCTCTGCAACCTGGTTAACTTCGGCATCACCTAGGTCATCCTTCCAAAGATCATCTCCGTTCCCTCCCCATTCCATCTCCCCTTCCTCCTCAGCATCATCGGTCTCATCTGAAGGTTGATCTGTCAAGTGCCGATTTTCTGATATTTCGAGCTCTTTTAGCCGAGACATAATCTCAGCATGTGCTCCTGCTACTGCTGCTCCATTGGCAATCCTCTCAATATCTTTACCCACTTCTGAGTCATTATTGTGATTGTGGACAACCTCCTTCTCCATCTCCTTCCAGAATTGAATAGCTTGAATGCGCTCACTTCTACGTACAGTGTGCTCTACCGATGAACTGATGCTTTTCATTCTAGATGCTGCAGTATCGGTGATCGTGCTTGACCTACCTTTTCGGATACGAACTGTGCTTGCAGAGCGGTCCATCTGAATCCCATTTGCAGATTCTCTCTTCCACATTTCGTTTGAACTTTTTCCCCCCTCTTCAGAAGGATCTGCTGACAGCAAACTTCCCCCTGGCCGCAGCTCGCAGCAGAGGTGGTTTTCTTTCGCAGACCAGATATCATGGGACCAAGAGCGGTGACCACGAGGGCAAGAAGGTATGCGACTGTAATCACCATCAAGCCGACTGTAGACCAAAGCTTCAACTTTAGCTGCACACGGCGCTTGAAGGAAGGCCATATGATTGACAACACCCTCGATAGTGGCATTTTCTTTCCTTGCCAGGGGAGAACATGTGTTATAATCCTCTTGGATCCTTCCCAAATGGCAAAGCCCTACATGAAATTTACACTTGCATCTGTTTCCCTTCCCATGCGGGCGACGGTCCAACCGATGCACCACACCCTCATACCATCCCTGAGAATCAACAATTTGACAATGGCAATCAAGCAATCTCAATAAGTCAATCGTGAGAAAATCCCAACAAAAAGAGACTGCAGAAGCTTGACAGTGCTGAAGTCTGGACTACCACCGGTTGTTGCGAAGTCCAGGGGCCCACAGAGTCTGAAGAAAACAGTGCATAACTCTACCTTCTTCTACGTGCTTGGGGAAATAAGATAGGGCATTTGGTAGTTGTTCATTGATAGAGTGGAAGCAAAACGGTCGAATTCCTAACAGACAGGAAATCAAGTTTTTTGATACCCAACATCATAGAGCAGCCTATGGAATACAGCTAGCCCACAACGAGCAAATCCCTCTCTGAAGATCTCTCAGAAAAAAAAAACTCAAAACCATGGTTTTGAGATTTACGTCTGGACAGGAATAAGGACAGTCCCTAGGTCTCAGTCTGGATACCAGTATGCACATGATGTCCTGGCCTGGACTAGCAACATTATTCTTCTGCAAATTTTCTTACTTGAAAAAAGAAAACCTTGAAAAGAGGACAGAAAGTAGACACAATAGGGAACATCTAAGCGGAAGAATTGGGTAGGTTTGTTACAGACGTACATACACTGGTAGGTGGAACATTAGGATGGGCTTGATGGAGACAAGGTAGACCCAGAATAGCAGACTGCTACAATCCAACACCAGGAGACCAGAAGGTGCTGAGATTCGGAAAGGGATTGGGAAAGATCGGAAGAAGAAAGTGATGTAGATAAGATTTGGATATGACTTAGACATGTAAAGAAGCAATGAAGAACTAGTGCAAGGAAGACGAGCAATAGCGAACTTCAGAAATCAAACAGCATCATACACATGAGACCAGATAGTTGTGACCTTGAACCAATAGCAGAATTGCATCACGAGTTTCACCAAATAAGAGCACACCAAACGTTCATAATTGACAATGCTGGAATAGTCTCATCATCATCAACGAAGAACCAATGTGGATATCCTATCTGGCGCTCGGCGCCCAGACTACATATGGCAGATCCTATCTAGCCTACTCTACGATCCCGCTGATGACGTCAACAGCTCCCCGAAGTACGAGCAGATCTCGGACAGTGCCATACGCTTCAAGCACCAGGTATGTCTCTCGTGTCACTCACAACCTCATTCCCCAACACACAGATGCCACATGCACCCAAGGACCACCATGCGCCCCATCCAGTATACAGCAGCGCAGCTCGGCTGTGGCTGCCTGCTCCTTCCAGCTCACCCGTGAGCGCGTGAGCCTGGCCAGCGTTAGCGCAGCAGCGCTTGCGCAGCATGCAGCCAGTGCCCGAATGTCCAATGCGTAGGTAGGCCCTTCTCTATATCGAAGTGGCCTGCTGCTGCGTGCGGTGTACTGGGCCCTGGCCCAGAAGCTTCCGGTAGGCCCCACGAGGCTGAGCCTCAGTCCATACAGAACAGGCCCAGGGCCTGAGTTAGTTGCCCGTACCCAACTGCCCTCAACCTTTGTTCGGTCCACTTTGTGTATCCGGCGCAGGGCCTGCGTCAGTTACATGCAATGAAAGGCAGCCTGGGCCTGGGCGCTTCCAACCAACTGATGCTGCGCAACTGCCTGAATTCCCCAGTTGCGTGGTGACCCCAAAATGGCCTGTAGGCCTCGGTCGTGCCTGCCTTCATTTAGGGCGGCCGACTCTGTGGAAAATAGGCCCTGTAGGGCATATCGAGGCCCTGTGCCTCGCACTAGGTATGTGGCCTGATCGACTGGCCGGAACGCCCCCCCTCCCGCACCATGCCCTCCTGGGGGCTGCTGTACTGCGTGCCTGGGTGCTGCTAGTAAGCCTCCCGACGAGTTGAACAGCATGCGTAGAGTCGTCGAGGTTGGGGGTGGGCGCTCCAAAGCAGCCCCCCCTTGTNAAAGCAGCCCCCCCTTGTTAAGGCGTGCCCTCCTGGGGGCTGCTGTACTGCGAGCCTGGGTGCTGCTAGTAAGCCTCCCGACGAGTTGAACAGCACGTGTAGAGGAGTCGAGGTTGGGGGTGGGGCGCTCCGAAGCAGCCCCCCCTTGTTAAGGCGTCTAGTGCCACAAGGGCTGGGCTGACCCTCTTCTCTTATCTATTCTTCCCACTGCCTTTGTACAAAACATGCTTGCCGATGATAAACAACTGAAGGGGCCTTAAACCACCACTACCTTTCCAAGCTGTAGTCCCATTTTGGAAAATGACGTCAGGTGCAAAGTTCGGAGGTCCGGGCGAGGGTTGGCAAAAAGAAAAATTTGGGCCTTATGGGCCCGACTGGAGAAAACAAAAGAAAACAGAAGTAATTGCAGGGTTGAAAGGAAGGACGTCGGGGAAAGCCACAGTATTGCCTCCAAGAATGCATTTGCCCAGAGTCGTCGATAGTTTCGTTTTTTGTTTTTCGTGTTTTTTATTTTTTCCTTCTAAAATAGTTTTAGTGCCCCACTCCCCTGCCAACGAGGCAGGGCGCTTTCCCCAGACAGCTGACACTTGCAACCAACGGTGCACTCTCACATGTACTGAAGATTCTGTATCCAGCTGCTTTTACGTCCAAAGAGTTGTTGTCGTTTTTGCTTCCCCCCCCCTCCCCCCTACAGCTGTGTTTTGCTGAGGGCTGTAAAGATCGTTGGCAGGGCATATTCTCACTTTGTGCCCAATGTTCTGTATCCAGCTGCTTTCACGTCCAAAGAGCCTTTGACTTTTTTTACGTTTTTTTTTTTTCCTATTGCCGTGTTTTGCTGAGTGCAGCAACGCCCTTTGGCAGAGCATACTCTCAGATGTACCCGATGTTCTGTATACAGCTGCTTTCACGTCCCTAACGTCGTTGTTTTTCTCCTTCTCTTTCGTTTTTTTTTTGTTTTGTTTTGTTTTTTTGCATTTCCGATGAGTACCAGAAAAGAAAATACAATGGGACCCAGGCTCGCAAAACTCGGTGGCAGTGAAATTCAGGGTCAGCAAAAACAGGCTTGGAGGTTTTTGCAAAAAAAAAGAGGACACAAAAAATCTGGGAAAACAAATTTTCAGCATTGCAACAGAAACAAAACAAAAGCTGGGAAGCGACCATTTGCGCCTTCCAGCTCGCACCTGGTGTTAGAAGCTTGAGTGCTGCTCCCCGCACAGAGCAGATGTTGCTTCTTAACTTAGTAGAGATTTCCTGCCTTGGGCACGGAAAACCCTGTAGTAAGCTGCATGTAGGTAGGTAGGTAGTGGTAGATATATCGAGATGAGAATATAGGTTAGTTAATAAAATATATATTAAAAAAAGCAGTAAAGAAGGTTACAAAGGGTCGCTAGCGCCGTCCGGTGAGTGCTAACGCTCAGCGCTAAGTCTCACACCCCCATCGCCAGTAATTTTCGCATGTCCACCTTTTGCCGCGCGCGCGGTGGCAGAGACTCTTCTCCTCTTTCGAAATCGCACGGGAGAGAGCGTGTCGACACGTTTTGCCATGCCTCCGCGCGTGGTGCTCACAACCTCAGCACGAATCAGACAGACACGGGAGGGGAAATGAGGAGGAAGAGGGAAGAGGACAGATACAATGAGAATCGAAAAGAAGAAGAGGGTCTTTCCTAAGAATGGGAAAAAATCGAGAGGAGAGGTAAGGAGAAAAAGGGAGAGAGGACGAATTTTCAAGTAGGGAAAGGGACACGTAACGACGAGAAAAGCAAGCGCACCATCTCAAGCCACGGAGAGGAGTGGCGCAACAGCCAAACATCACTTCATTGCACCCGGCAAGGTCAGAACAATGCTTCTCAACTCTCTAAAGGTAAGATCGAAAGCTCTCGGGGGGGGGTCGGGGGGGATTTGGCTCACCTGTGTACTCCAGTCGATGCATTGCTGCTGGAGGTCAGAAAGCCTTGGAAAAACTGCCTTTTTTTTCTGTTTGTTTTTGCTTTGTACATTTGCACGGGAGTTACCTCCAAGAGACCTGTTGAGGCTGAATTTGGTGGGTTCGCGGGGGCGGGGGGGGGGATATACTACACGATATTGCTGGAGGGGGGGGGCGTAGTTAGTTAGATTGGGGTGACTCTCTCTCTCTCTCT